GTCACCAAAATTTCGTAAGCATGAAGTCATTGGCACACCACATTCGCTTTCAGAAAAACTGTTTTTCATACAGAAATAAGACATGAATGTGGAAAAGGGCACTAAACACTTCTCGAATTATAAAGAAAACAAACTTGTAAAAATTTTTTTATTGCCTTACCCCGTGCCATCAAGGCATTGCATATAGAGGGTAACCTCTTCTTTTGGATCGAAGTGACTGTTATTGCATCAAGATGCTCAGGTCAGCACAGAGTATGAAATATATTCCATTTTTAGCTTCTCCATTAAGGCTTTTACAGATCCTTTCCTATTCGTGCACACTGAAATTTCAAGAGCAGGCATTTATTATTCAGAGGCAATTCTCGTCTTGGAATTTCATTAACATGTACTTCTGCAATTTGTAGAGTTGACCCCACAGTTGCTAATTGCCTGTCCTCATTCTGCCTTCTTTCCTACTTTCACCTTGAAGTCGGTTATTGCTACTCTGCACTTAGTTTGTATCTTTTGCCTTGCTAATTAGGTGTGAAGCACCGTAGGAATTAGGCTTGTCAGCACCTCCTGTCACAGTAGGTTGCGAAGTCATGGTCCATCACAAAAAAATCGATAACTTTCACTACTCACCGCGGTTCACTAAAAGCGAAGATGGTAGCAGTTAGCCGCCATAAAGAGCCAGCGGTAGTGGAGCAATAATGCCCTTCTCTATACTCTGTTTTGTGAGTTTCATGCAGCAAGGCTACATGCTCTTTGAGCACAGATTCTTGCAAAGCGAGATTTGGTGCCCATGTTCACAACCCACTGCGTGTCCTCGTGACTTTTACAAACAGTCTCGTCCGAACATTTTTGCTTGAAGCCTTCACTGCGTTTCGAAATGGTCACCTGCCAGGGCATTTTGCTCCTTTTTTCATAGAAAACAATTTTCATGGCTCTATGATGCCGAAGAAAGAGTTCTCGCTTGTTTGTGTTATAATGGGCCACATGACGGAAGAAATAAGGCAACTGTGCCTCATACGCATTATGTTCTGTTCTCTAAATACAAACAATTGGTAAGCCATTGTCTAAATCTTAATGCAGTTGGCACAGCCACAGACTCCCGAGCATCGCGAAGGAACCGGCGTTGGGCTAGAAAAACATGGTTGCACTGCCAAAACCAGTTGTCTCTCGCCCTCGAATCTCTTGACTAGCTGTTGTGTGCTCTGTGATTTGTAAGCTCCCATGAAGTGATGCTTTCATTTGCTTTAGTTTCATGTCATTAAGCTTCGAAAACAGTATTCGGAGCCACATTCGAATAATCAATGTTGTAGGCTTAGCGAGTGGCAATGGACACTTCCCAAATCTCAGAGGGCATACATGACGAGTTTTGCTAGTTTCTTCTATCCCTCGATAGCCGGCGCTATTTGTCCAGGCACCAGCTTGACGGCATGTTATTTTCATTTACGCTACCCTTTTTCGAATTTCGGGCAGACGAAGACGTCCTATTGGGGGGGGGGGGGCGCTGCTGGAACCATGCCTGGCAATGACGCGGACAACATCTGCACTTAGGAGGTCTATTAGAAAAATATCTGACCTTAATTTTTTGGAAGCACCTGATGGATTTCAAACAAGCGCGCTTGCATCAGCCGACCTTGAATCTTCGTGTGCAATTTTTTCTCGCCTGCCAATAGCGTGAGTCCCTGGGACGCAGCGTTTGAGTGAGGTAGGGCGCAGTGCTCTTTTCAGTTTTTCATTGCAAGGAAAATGACGGAGTGACTGGAGCAGCGCAACTGCATCAAATTTTGCCAGAAGCTGGGCGACAGCCAAGTGGTAACCATTCGGAAGATCAAGACAGCTTTCGAGGATGATGCTATGAGCCGCAAACAGCTTAAGGAGTGGTACAACCTGTTTAAAGATGGCCGCATATCAGTGAAGAAGGAGCCACGCTCCGCTTGGCTGTCAATATGCCAAAATGTCTGAAGTGAACGCTGTGGTGATGCGGCATCGTCATGTCACTATCCAGGAAATTGCGGAAGAGGTGGGCGTCAGCACTTTCTCTGCAAATTTCATTATGACTGAAGATTTGGCCATGAAGAAAGTTGCAGTGAAATTCGTGTCGAAATTGCTCACGGTGGAGCAAGAGCAACTTCGTGCTGAAATCTCACAGGACAAGCTGTATTTCACAAACAGTGACCATAATTTCATGAACACCATTATTGACTAGGGATGAGTCTTGGGTGTACGGATACGACCCGGAAACTTAATCCCAGTCGTCACAGTGGAAGCATTCCACGTCACCAAGACCAAAGAAAACCCGCCAAGTGCGCAGCAACGTCAAAGCGATGCTGAGTGCTTTCTTTGACTCCCGCGGTGTGGTACCCCAGGTGTACACACCACAGGGCCAAACAATTACCAAAAAATACTACAGAGATGTCCTCAGTTGCCTGCCTACGTGATGTGCGGTGGAAGGGGCCTCAGTTGGGGTCAACAGGAAACTGCCGCATCCATCACAACAATGCTGCTGCACATTCCTCACACTTGGTTAAGACTTGGCAAAAAGTCAGACTCCTGTAGTTCAACAGGTTCTTTACTCTTCTTATATGGCCCCCTGCGACTTCTGGCTACTTCCCAAACTCGAGAGAACATTGAAAGGAGAGCTATTTCAGACAAGGGAGGACATTATGGCTGCGATGAAAGCTGAGCCAAACTCTGTTCCGAAAGAAGCTTTCTCAGAATGCTTCCAACAACGGAAGCACTGCTGGGAGAAGTGTGTGGAGTCTCAAGGGGGCTACCTTGAGGGGCAATGGGCCTTTAAGGCTCCAATTATGCCAGTTTTTTTTTCCTTTTACCAATGGTCGGATATTTTTCCAACAGACCTCGTACACCGTGAAAAACGCAGACCAAGAAGCAAACAGCTCGAAGTGTTGCACAGCAGATGCAGACAACACGGCTCACCGATGTGGCTGGCACCCAACACGTGGTTTTGCGGTGACAGGGGCCATGATCAAGAAAAGCTGCTGCACAACTTTGACTTGTGATGCACATGGTCGTGCACAATTTCTGTCAAAGGGAGGAAACTCTGATGCTGCGCAAGCTCACCGCTAGCAGCGCTCGTCGCTTGCAAATGACTGGGCACAGAAGGGTACATTTAGATGTGCTCACCCTCTTGATTGGTCGAGAAGGACTGATGCTTTCACTGTGCTGCACAGAACTACTGAAACAGAGTATACAAGTCATAGGGAACTAAAGCAGGGCATGTAGGGAAGAAGAAAAAAAAGAGTAGAAGAAGCACCTAAGGGTGAGCTGCGTTCCGACGCAGTTTTCTAACAGCGTTGGTGGTTTTAGGCTTGGTACCCCTAGTGGGGCTCATCAAGGAAATCTCCTCTTCAGGTTTCACGTTGGTGGAGCTGAAACACCCTTTCCTACGTACTTTGTTTTGCCCAATTTTTATTATTATTACTTCTGAACATTGAAGCAGAGGCTTGTTCTGCTTTTCTTTTTTAGCTCCTATTCAGCGTTATCACTATGTAGGCTGTGTAGACGGAGTAGAAGCCCTCATTGTTGCCTCCGATATCTTTAAGACTACAAAAATCTTACCCAAAGTTCTCTCTGTGTTAGAAGACCTCCTTAAAGGAAGACATAGCCACGAACTGTAGGTGAGAGTCTGGAGGTTTAGGACAGTTGGAGGAATAGGACAGCGAGTCTACCTATTTCTCCTGCGGTTACTTCAATGACGTTAGTGAACGGCTCATAAAATGGTGCTAACAGACCAATTGCAAGGATGTAATGGTGGGCATAATCGGCAAATGGAGCTTCCTGCAACTGGAAGTCATCTTTTTCACAAGTTAAAAGTAAGTTTCTGCTATCACAAGTGTAACACTCTCAAACTTCTACCGCTGCCTGGACACTTACATAATTTTTTTTCCGAAAAGACGCATCGGTGCTGTGCTTTTTTAAAGAAAAAGTTGAAACCTTATGATTGAACTTTATACCCGCTGAACATTGTTTACTTTAGGAAACGTAGTTCGAGATTAATGGGACACTGTCCCTTTCCTGTATCCTACTGCCACACCACGTTACACAGTGCAGAAAGAAAAAAGGCAAGACAAAAGTTTATATGTACATCGGGAAAGCACACTATTGAAAAATAATTCACATAGGTTAGCAGAACAGTCTTTAAAAAGGAGCGCAGTACAGTCAAGACTGCTGCCACAGGCCATCAAAAAAATAAATTGCATTTGAGGAAGGATTGCTTTTCTTCAAGTAAAAAAGACACAGTGGCCTTTGCCTTTGACAAGTCTGACAATGACATTCCAGGTTTTAATAATGACTGGCAAGACATGTGAAATCAGTCTGTCTAGTAAATATATTCCATTGACAAAAGCAGATAATTTTCTCATCAGTTTTATTTTTAAAAAAATTGATGTTCATTATGTGGCTGGAGTCATGAGCAGTAATAATATATCAGCTTCAATGTGCAGTTTCTGTAGAATGAAGAATGAGCTCCTTGTTCTACTTTCTTTGTAAGAAAGATACAGGGACTTGCATACTTCAGAAATTGTGATGAAGCTGCAAGTGTCGAAATCTATCGCTGTGGCAAAGTTTGTGCTGCTCCATTAATGTTTGGTGTTAAACTATCCAATTATGATAATCACAGAAGACACTTGAACCATTGTGTTACGTCCCACTCCACCCAGAAAGGCTGGTAGGATGGGACAGATTTTAGCCATCGCAAACTTTTTTATTACAGCTGCACAAAGAGCGGTACCACCCAGTGCATCTGAGAAGTTCTGCAGCTTGATTTGATAGACTTTTGTTTGTTTTAATCCACCTAACATGGTTCTGCATTAAAGTTCAACAAAACTAAAAATATAATTCTGAAAAGTGTCCCAATCCTCGACTCTCCCCTTCTTTAAAAGTCTTGTCATTTCCTTGTAGTGACTCCTAAATATACATGATGGATTGATATGTGGGGTTTACATCCCAAAGCCACCAAAGCCATTATCATATGTGGGGTTTAACATCCCAAAGCCATTATAAGAGATGCCGTAGTGGAGGGCTCTGGAAATTTCGACTACCTGGTGTTCTTTAACGTGCGCTCAAATCTGAGCACACGGGCCTAGAGCTTTTTTGCCTCCATCGAAAATGTAGCCGCCGCAGCCGGGACTCGATCCCGCGACCTGTGGGTCAGCAGCCGAGTACCTTAGCCACTAGACCACTGCGGCAGGGCACCTCTAAATATACAGTGAACTCGATAAACAAAAGTCTAATGGAATTCCGGCTTAAGTGGAACAATCGCCTTGAATATAATTGGTTTTTTCTTTGAACGCAGCACTCCTGTTCATCTCTCAGTAAATGTAACTCCTGCTAGAAGGTACTCATTTTTCAGATTCCTTCAGTTTTTTTTTTTAACGAGATTCTACAGTAATCTATGTCTTTTGAAGGGACTGACAACTGCCCAGGACATGAAATGATATGAATGCACAAATGGAAAGATTGACCCTCATAGTGAGTCAAACCAACCCTATTTTTCTCGTGAGAAGTGGAGTTATGTTTTCATTTCTTCAAGCCAAGTTATCAGACCCAAGCCTGAAGAATCAGCACAGCGTGGTTCAACAGGCGCGGGAGACGGCGAAGGCCCCCGGATACCTTGAATAAGGAGGCCGCTTACCTCGGGCGCACAATGCGTTTGCTCAAATAAAAGTTTATTCTCTTTCTCTCTCATTGAAAATCACGCAAATAGCCGCTGGTGGCAGAAACTTCAATTATCCGAGCTGCCATGTCACGTCAGCGTAATCTAGTGTACGCTGTCAACAATTTTTCTGTTAGTGTTGAAATATTGTTTGCATTTTTATAATAAACGATATTACTCCGTAAAATTGTGCTTATAGGCTTGCCTTAGTAGTGCGCAATTAAGTGGCGCTGCCTTCACATGACGTAATGATCCCGTGCTCCTCAGCGCGCCTTGAGCAACTTTTCTGCGTGCTCATGAAACCGTGCAGGCACCCGGTCGCTAATATTTCGGAGTGATGTGGTTTTTTTTTATACTTCCATTTTGTCTCAGAAATGGTGTGCAGTGACGGTTTCGGTGGCTTCACTTGGCTCGGGTGTCGAGAGAGTAACGACAACGAGACTAGCCATTCACGACATAAGTGCATCAACCTTGGGTGCAGGCATACGCAACACGGTACAAATACAGAGAAGCTGTATCAAGCCACATCATCTCATTGTAGTGACTTGCTATTTTCAAAAATAGTTGTAAAGCTAAGAATAAACGTAGTTAAGCATAGTTACAGGACCTCCTGCGAAAGCAGAATCATGACAGCATGCACAAGTTGCTAGAAGGGCTACCGGCATCACTATCATTTCTCAGCGTTGCTAGACGAAAAGGCACGTTGTTGTTTAAAGCCTTTCAAATAGAAAAATACTGCTTATAAAACAACTACATGCTTTTGGTAGTAACTACTGTAGCTACGAACACTGCAATGGGTAAATTTTCGGTTGCGCTGGAAAAAAACTGGGTCGAAAAAAATCGGTTGTTGGTCCCTTTAAAGGCAAGGACAATGAATGCCCATTTTTTTTTTTGCTCGTTTTACAGTGGAAAACAATGGGCTGTCTACAATGCTCTTGAAAAGGACAAGCACGGAAGAGATGCTGCGTTTCTAGACCAATACGCTGCTGAGCGATGGGAGGTACTTCTGTCACTATTTCTTTTTTAACACTGAGAGAAGTTAATCTTGCCCTGAGGTTTAGCTCAAGCAGCGTGGCAGCCAGAGAGCTTGTTTTGAGTTATCAGTTATTATTTCTTTTTTTTGTTTCTACCTGTCTTGCATTCTGATTAATTTTTTTGTTTCTGCCACAGCTTCTCCTCTATTCACTTGAATAATTTCATGATTGACCTGCCGAATTTGCCTTTTGTGAAAGTAATTGCTAGGCAAATGAGCTGTAAACCATCTAGGTTGAATACACAGATCTTCTGCAGGTTTTGTTTCATGTGTCTTTGTGTGTTAAGTAATCATGCAATTTGCTGTAAATTTTCATTACTGCTCGCTTTGCCTTTGTCTCTGCTACAGTGTGTCCTTCATTTCATGGTGGGTTGTCATACAACAGAGGGCATAAGTGTAGATGCAGTCCGAACACTGCTCCATGCTGGACTCATGAAATCGTAAGCCATCTGTTATATCTTAATAAATTTCAGTCACTGCATATTTATAAATTTCTGGCATTAGTTTTGGTTTAAAGGTCTTGTATTCTTAGTGATGTGCATGTTTGGGCTACTTGGGGATCCATTGACGCTACTATAGCGCCAACTTCAGAGACGAGGGACACATACCAGGGATAACTTCAGAGACACATAATATAAATACAGTAGACCTTCATTAAAGGGAACCTGATCAGACTAGAAATATATGTTTTGTTTAACAGGAGTTCCTTTAACTGTGCAGTGATACAAGTGCTGCTTTGATTTATCTAAACTACTCCGAAAGAGAAAAGCTGCTTCAAACAGTAATTTTAGTTAGTAATTGCTCTAATCCTGCTCCACAATGGCTCTGAGAGAATGAGAATGACAAACTTATACTGTTTGACCAACTTATAACTCCTAGAGAAACTGGAACGAATCTATACCAGCATTACAGAACAGTACTAGTGTGCAGCATATCGGCTATAATCTCATTTATGCGATAAAAACTGCGATATTAAACATATAGCTCATTTGGCAGTTTTTCCTATCTTTTTTTCTAGTTAGACATGCTGGCTACTGGGGTGATATGAGAAAATGAGCAGGATTGCTTTTATCTTGTGCCAATTATCTACTGCTTGTTTGGCAAGTTATGTGGGACTGTGGTTTACTTCTGAAATATCATGCTCAGCTTTACCAGTTCGGTTTGATTTCTGCCACAAATACTAGTATGTTAAATATATAGCTCATTTCACAGCTCATTTTTGACACCGAAACATCTTTTTAATTGTCTGCTTCTTGAAAGTTACATTGATTGCTGTCCGTGAAATATATATCATGATAAATATTAATATTTACGAGATGCTTTGATGGTGCTTTGAACTTCAATTGGTGTATGGCAAGTTTGTGTCTGCTCTTAAAACACCAATAGCTGCTCCAAACTAAAAATTTTTTTCACTATGAAAACACTTATAGCTGCTCCAAAACAATACTTTTTCTGCTCTCAAAGTATGTTCCAAAAAGTAAAAAGTCACTTCCATTGCTGACTGTGAGATGACCAGGGATCGAGAATACAAGAACAAAACCAAATATTCAAAAGCACTTGTTCCAGTTGAGCTGCACTTTCATTTAACAGATTTCGGTTTACTGAGATTCAGCTGTGTCTGTCTTAACAACAAAAGTCTACTTGGAAGCGAGTGCTTGTTTCTCGTGTTCTTTTGTCCTTCGTCTCCGATGTTTGTGCTATAGTAGCGTCTCGTATTTCTTCATATAAGTTCACGGAAATGCCCATAATAGGTAGTTCAACTGGGCTCACACCTGCAAAGCTAAAATGACTAATAACAGCCATATTTTTCTTTGTGACTTTTTATGCTTTAATGAGTAGGTCTGTGTATAATTATGAAGCTGAATTTCATATGTTCTAGCATAATGTATAATTAACATATATCAGTGAACTCACTCAGACTCGGATTGAGCCGTGAGTCCGGTTGAGGAACATTTGGAGTGTGTGCAAGTCTGGCTCAGGAAAAATTTGGTGAATGAGTCCAAAGCCCGACATATTTCTTGAGTGAGTCTGAGTGAGTTCCACTTTTTTTTTTGCGGACCCATGATAATTAGTGCTAACATAATTGGTAGGGGTGTGTGAATATTTGGAATTTTAAATTTTTTGCTTATAGCATTTGCTTTTAGATTCGATTCGCACTGGAATTTGGCTATTTGAACTTCCCAAAGACAAACACAGTTGTCCACTTGACAGTAGCGACTTGGTAGTTTTAATAAGCTTCGCCCCATTACACTCTCGTATTGCGGCAAAGCTGCCTTTTGGGTTCTGCTATGTTTGCGAATGTATCTACTCAAGAAAGCGTACACATCGACTCAATTTGCATTTACACTTCAATATTTGAATTCACTTTGAACGCAAAATTGTGGCATTTACACCAGTCTAATAATTTGTTGTGATAAATTTAGGTTTCACTTTAAAATGTCCTCCTAAAATCATAAAAAACTAGTGCCCCCCTCCAGTGAAGCAGTTTAGAATCATGCAGGCTTCTATGACATTAAGAGTGCACGTTTTTATTCAGAGCCCTGCATACCAGAAGGAATGGAATGATGTGGGTGCAGCAGTCTCTGTCATGGTGTGGCAAACCATTAACATTTTTCTGCTGAAATTTCTGTCAACATAACAGTGCCAGACGCAGTAGTAAGTTTCAGGTGATCTATGTATCTGTTAAGCGTAAAGTACGTTGCAGCATTACAGAAACATTCACTGTGATTTACATGTATGTTGATGCAAATATCTATTTATGTAGAAGTTGCCAGTTTGCGCATTCATTGCTTTGTTACTAAATGAGGGACTTACATGAATGCAGGGAAGAGGGCGAAAGCAGCTCACCATTGATAACTATGGATGGCTTCCAGTTCTTACTGATGGACACAGCTTCTCAAGTGTGGCATTTTGTGCTTCAGTACTTGGACACTCTGGAGGTATACATTGCAATGTCTCTTTCTCCTGTGGATACTGTCTTTTTTGTTTAACATATTAAATACGGAGAAAAAAACAACACAAGATTATGCTTTGTGAGCTGAATTATTTGTGTCATTTTCTTATCCTTCAGCATTTTGGCCCTTTCAACCAGCTCAAAATAAATATTGAGCAGACATGTGTTATAATGACATCTCTAACATTTAATCGTCACTGAACATAGTCATGTATGCGAATTGCACTAATCTTTGCTTTGCAAATTCAACCCTAGAACATATAAAAAAAATAAATGATTATGTACATTTGTTGTATGACTGGCTGAACCTAAACGAACTGCAATCGAATGTTACCAGAGCTAAGTAAATAAAATTTAAACTGGTGAATAAGCAAATGCCTGTTTTTAGATTTGAAGCCGCTCTTTGACAAGCCTGTGTAACGCTGTCCCTCTGTCCGCACCGCTCCCCTCGCCACAGGTGTTGGAGCAGTGCCAAGTAGCTCACACCTTCCTAGCAGTGTGCGGTGACGTCTCTCTCCCTCGCCTGCTGTGCGCTCGCCACATGTCAGCTCTCTCTCTTCACCCTCTACACTGCTGGAAACGCTCGAGCCCACTCCTCATGTGGGTATCATTTCACCCGTGCCATCTCTCTCCATTTGTTGGTGAGAAGAAGGCGCAAGCCCGCGGGTGCACGCGCTGCACGTGCCTCGAGAATCTCGCGGCACCAACCATGTAGACAGTGCGTCTCTGCTTGCCGTGCGATCGCAGCGACGGTCAAGACGTCATTGCGGCATGCTTCCCGCTAGTGTGCGTGTACTGTTCCCAGCTGTCGCCGGCGTTGCGAGGGTAAGCAAAGCCGGTTGCGTTCGCGAATGGCAACGTTAACATCGGCGAGGTGCAAGCTAGAGCCTGAACGCAAGCGTCGGCATTGCAAGACCAGCGATGCCGATGAAGTGCGAGTCAAGAACACCAATCGCGTTCCAGAATACAGACAGTGTGCGGGTAACACCAACAAGGCGCGAGCCAATGAAGCCAAGTGCAAGTGTCTTCAACGTGTCCCGCCTCCTGTGTCTTTGCGTTTCAAACAAACGTTTACTCGAGTAAACGCTACATTGAGTTTCGCTTCAAACCGTTCTTCCTGCACTTGTGTCGATGCCCGTTTCAACCGGGTCGGGGTTTTTTTTTTGAGAGATGCTCCATAATTTTTTTCAAGCAAAGCAGATAGAACAAGATACAATGAAAAAACTTGTGGGGGTATGGTTTCAGGATAACCTCTCCTGGGCAATCATGCAAATAAGCTAAGCAGTGACCTTAGTGAAGTCATTGGCTCTGTGTATAAAATTAGTAAATTTATACCATTACCACTATATAAGCTTGTGCGAATATTTGAAAGCCTCGAATATTCGAATGGGTATTATAGTAGCCAGATATGCTTTGATTCAAATTAAAATTATTGAAAATTGCGAAGTATTTGAAATAAAGAGACAGGTGTACGTTAATCTGCCTGTAGCCCTTTGTAAAGGTGGTTTCACTGCAGTGAAGAGTTGCTCAGCCATAGAAACGTCTATCTATGGGAAACGCGCCCTGCCACAAAGCCTCACTTTAAGGGGGGACGAGGGTCTTAAAATAGCACAAAATTGTAAAAAATGCTTATTTGCAAACATTGCAATTTGAGATATTTAAACTTGAAAGCATATTGAAACATTTTATATTATGGAAAAATGGCATCTCTTTTTGTTAAAAACCTAATATCAAAAATTGCAGATCTTTTTAAAACTGAAGACGTAATTTTCTTGGCATTGTTATTTTTGTGGTGCGAGTCTGCCTTACCAAAGTTTTGAGGAAGTTGCTGTGAAAATATCTAAAAAAACTTTGTACCATTCTTTTCCGCAGCACTTGAACTACAGGCTGCCCTGCCACGGTGGTCTAGTGGCTAAGGTACTCAGCTGCAGACCCGCAGGTCGCGGGATCGAATCCCGCTGCGGCGGCTGAATTTCCGATGGAGGCAGAAATGCTGTAGGCCCGTGTGCTCAGATTTTGGTGCGCTTTAAAGAACCCCAGGTGGTCGAAATTTCCGGAGTCCTCCACTACGGCGTCTCTCATAATCATATGGTGGTTTTGGGACATTAAACTCCTCATATCAATCAATGAACTACAGGCTAAAGTTTTTATTTTACTCTCAACCTTTATAGAACTGTAATTATATGATAAATACCAACTAATTACTGGAAGCTCATTTTTACCTTCCAAGTTTAAAAGCTATTTCGGATAAAAGAAATAGCCTTTTTGACAATTACTTTGCTTTAAACTGTGGGATGAACCTTTTAAAAGAAACATGTAGTTTTGAAAACTAGCTTTTTTATTGCGAGTTATCATAACGTGTCATAAGAAATTAGCTAATTATAATGTGGAAATTTCTCATTACTTTTTTTTTCTAAATGGGATATTTGAAATCTGTTTGCAGATTTGAAATCTCCATTCAATTGTATGTGTGCATGGAAATTTTCGTGGCAGTAGGATAATAAATGAAAAACTTTTTTTGAGACTCTCGTCCCTCCTTTAAATGAACAAATTACCTGCACATTGATTCATCATTTTTCAAGTTGCTACAATAGCTTAGGCACACTTAACTATAGTATATCCTAAAAATAATACACTTCGCAGGTTATCACTTCCATTCTAGCCAGAGTGAAATCCTACTACTATTCAAAGTTGTTTTCGTTTTCTTTAAAAAAAAAATGGCACTTTCATAGGCCTTGTTTCTATTTTTAAAAAGTACTATTGTGTAGGTTAGTTAGATCATGACAAAGATTTGGCCATTTTCTCTTACAATATGTCATATATACTATTTAAATTCGATTTAAAATTATTTGACCGAAATCGCTATTCACTTCAAATTTTCTTTGGACCTGAAATTCACTATTCACACTAGTGTACCACTAAAAAAAGCAATACACTATGCCCTTTTTTAATCTGAACTTAGTTATCGTACGTTATTCTGGACCACACTGACTGCAAGACGGGACAATAAATCAATACTAATCTTACAGAATAAGGTAGTGCTCATTTTCAAAAACTACCATGGTAGACTGCACGAGATTTACCCCTTTATGATCTTTTTGATAAGCACTAATTAATCTGAGAAAATCAAGTTTACTATTATCGATTACTTTTGTGACAAAGTAACTTTAATTAAATGTTGCCAAAACTAAGTACATATTGAAACGATTATTATGGTGTGTTTTTTTTTCATATTTTTAGGTAAGTTACTTGAGAATGTAGCCAACTAACTTTTTATGTGCACTTCATATACATTTTTTCTTTGTAGTGCAATTTAAAAGTGCATTTAAATTGCAAATAAGAGTTAAACCTTGATATTACCACGCTGTGTTGGTGGCAGAAGACGAGAGCGAAGAAGTGAATGGCAGCTGTGGCTGAGTAAACAGTCCTCCACTTCAAGTTCCTGCCTATCGTTTCCTCTCGCGACAGACTGGTGGACGTGCTGGGTACTGTACTGCAACGTCTTATGCCTGCTGGTCCTGAACCAGAAGCAACCACCGCCAGTGCACCAGGGTCTGCTGACATCTATCGAAGCAGCCGCCGCCTTCAAGGACTACCACCACAGTACGGCCCCTTGGCAAGTTCCGTGAGGACAATGTTTGCCACATCCACAACCCAAACCGAGCATGACCCACTCGCTAGCGTACCCTGTTACATCAACACGCCTCGCACATCCAATCTATTCCATGGTGATTCCAGTGAGGATGTCGAAGACTGGCTTGACCATTTCGACCGGGTCGCTGCCATCAATGACTGGGACAATCGCCGTAAGTTGAAGAATGTGTATATCTCCTTCTTAGACGCGGCAAGAGTGTGGCATGAGAACCACGAAACTTCATTCACAAGTTGGCAGGAATTCCATCGGCAGCTTTGCGAGGCGTTCAGTAACCCCGAACGGAAAGAAAGAGTGGAGCAGGCACTTTCTTCGCAATTTCAAATGCCGAATGAGAGCGTCGCCATGTTTGTCGAAGAAATGTCGCAATTGTTTCGACGGGCTGACCCCCACATGCCAGAAGACAAGAAAGTGCGCCTGCTAATGCGAGGCGTGAAGGAGCAACTTTTCCCGGGCCTTGTGCGCAACCCTCCTACGACTGTGTCCGAGTTCATACGTGAGGCCACAATTATGGAGCGCATGCTTCGGCAGCGGGTGTCGCAGTATGAGCGTTAGACGGCCATGTCCGCTGCGTGCTCGCTTGTACCAGGAGGTGATAACAGGGAGGTCCTCACAGAACTCATACGGCAAGTTGTACGCGAAGAACTTCGGAAATTTCATGCAGCGCCCCCTCCCAGTAGCGCTGCTCTTACGGACGTCGTTCGTAACGAAATCAGGCAGTTCGTTCACTCCTCACCACCATCGCAAGTCGAACCTCCCACGCTTTCCTACGCGGATGCCCTACGCGCCTCTACGCCGTCGACGGCACATTTTGCTCATCAACCTACTGGGACCCCCAGACGCTTTCCAAGTCCAGCCCATCGCCTGCCTTCTCAGGCAGATTTTCGTCCTGGCCCGCGGAAGTCCACCGTCTGGCGTGCACCCGACAATCGTCCTTTGTGCTACCATTGTGGCGAAGTTGGACACATGTACCGCGACTGTTACTACCGACGAATAGGCCTACGTGGATTCCACCCAGATGCGCGTTGTCCACGGTATGGTGAGCGCCCACAAGAAATTGCGGATTACTTGGAAGGTAGTCATCACGCTCCAGTCCCGCCGCGACGACAGTCACGGTCACCATCACCCCGTCCGTCCACATCAACGCACTGTGCCCGACCCGCCTTTGGGTCCCCTGGTGTCAGTGGCGCAAGCCCACGCCGGGGAAACTGAAAACGGCGACCTCCGGAGGTGAGGCCGCTGTCACGCGAACCGACAAATACCCTCCGCCACTGCCTGACGTGCCGTTAAAGCCTATTTGTGAAACCGCCAACAGAACGTCCGCTGCCATTACC